TGACAGCGTCTGCAGAGAGACGCAGGGAGCGACAACCAGACGTGCATTTCTGCATTCAGTTTCAAACAAATAGAGCACCCTGTTGTGTTATTACACTGTTGTATTATGTCATGATATTAAACAAATTGAAGGAACCGTGGCGTTTTATAATTACAAAGACGTTTTCCTTCCAGTGCGTATTATTTGACTGCAAGTCAGGGAGTGACAGAGCGAGAGACGCAGCGATGAGCAAACGTGACACCAAATATTAATATATACAGCACTTTGTTGTGTTATCCCACTGTTGTATTATGTCAAGATTAAACAAAATGAAGGAACAGTTACGATTTACAAATATGCCGATGTTTTGCTTCAGCAGATCTTCTGTAATGACCGTAAGTCTATGGAGGAGTGAGAGGGTATGCCTGGAATGAGCGACTCCAATTGAGAAATTTCTGTAAAAAAAGCTGAATATCTTAAAAAGTATAAAAGTTATAAAAACGTTGTGTACAAGCACACATGCTTTACAGCATCCACACAATTAACTAGTAACTCACTCACATGTAATTAAAACACGCACTTACTGCTGGTGGCACTGTCCGCTACGTCCTCCCGTGTGTCCATCTGCACTGTGGCATTGTTATTAGCGCGAGTCTGCACACCTTTTCGATGTATGCCAGAGTTACGCATAGTTCTTCTGAGCCGAATGGAGAAACTTAACTCCACTTGGGCCTGCAGCGCTTGAACGCAAGTGTTGATGACGCTGCTGACACATGTAAAACTCGACTTTTCCTGTTCACTCTTGATGACATAACAAAAGTGGGAGTCTATCACGAATCAACCCGACATATGCCCACATAGGGAGATGTATGTCTTCCTAATTTTTTTAATGCATGTCTTTTTTTTCAAACGTTTTTATTGCAACAATGAACTAATTTAAACAGGTCAGGAGGCTCATTAATGGAGAGATCTCAAAACGGAAAACATTAAAACTCATCAAGTGGCTCCAAAAGAAGAAACTACTGAAAAGAAAGATAAAATGCAAAACCTGCCATCATGACATGACGCTGAAGAGAAGATCAAACAGTGGAGATCAATTTGCCTGGTATTTATACTGTATATTTGATTTGTTAGATTCCATTTATATTTGGTGTTTGTCTTACAATTATATTATAAAATACTGTACAATTATACACACATACAACTATATTATAATTGTTATTTTTGTACTCTTCCTCTTTAAACAGGATCTGCCGACATCCAGTCCATTTGGGGAGGCCAAAACAAACATCTGTCAGGCACAACTCCATATTCAGGCGATCCAAAGTATCTTTGAGAAAGTGGATACATTTTATGTACAGGTTGTTTTAAAAAAAAAAACAATGTAACCACAAATATTATATTACATTGCAATTCTGAATACTTTTTCCTTGATACAAAAGTACATTTTATTTTGTCTTTTCAGGTTTTGTCAGGGTCTAAGATTAAGGCAGATTGATATGATGGCTGACGAAATTGCAGTCAGTTCAGCAACACTCAGCAAAATGGCAAAAAAATTAAGGGATGTCTGTGTGACAGCAGTTGAAAGGATGAGAAGACGCACAGGCCAACTGATTGGAGGAAGAAGGGAATTTGTTGTTATTGATGAAAGCCATTTTCGACACAAAAGAAAGGTGTGTTATGGCAAAATATGCTGATTCCTGTAACATTTGTGTGGTAAAACTATTTCATAACATCTCTGATTTTTGTTTCAGTATGGAAGAGGAAGAATGACTGGTGGATGGAAAAGAAAGCAGTGGGTCTTTGGGATGTTAGGTGTCCAACATGACCAAGGAAGACGAAAGCCAATTTTACGTCTTGTTGAAAAAAGATCTAGGAGGCATCTAGTGCCTTTGATTGCTCGTCATGTGAGGTTAGGATCATCAATTATCAGTGATGAGTGGCGTGCTTATCGCATACTCCCTGATTTAGGGTACAACCATCACACTGTCAACCACAGCAGGTGGTATGTGGAACCCCACACAGGTGCCCATACACAGCATATTGAGAGGGCATGGAGATCATACAAGGAACAGGTTTGGAGGCTTAGGGGACTGACTGTTTGCTTTCTGACCACCTTGCAGTCATTGAATGGAATGAATGGCTTGCAAAGAAACATCAGGATGGTGCATTTGGTAGGCTAATTCATGACATTGCCAGAAAGTACAAGTAGCCTAATACATAGTTGCAATATATCATTTTTGTATGTTTTAAAAACATCAAATCTGCTTCCCTTCAAAATGAAGTGATGTAGCATTATATTGTTAGTAGAGACGGCGTTGTGTTCAGGGTTTGAAAGAGTTAGGTTATTTCATATTTGTACTGTTTACAGACATGTTTCTTTGTGTATACATATCTTGTGTTTTAGGTACATACCTATTTTTAGAGATACCAGATATTTTATTTATTTGTTGAAGTATGACAAGGATCTTATTTATTTTTTCATTATTTGGCACTTTAATGAGCCATGTTTGATTTTATGTATAATATTGTAATTGTATTATTAAGTTTTCAGTACAACTGAAATTGAATACAAAAAATATGTTCTGTATCCTTGTGTCATATCTTGATTTTGACTGTTTCAGATCTGCATTTCCACAGCTCAAAAGAGCTTGAGGCACTTTTGGGTTTTCTTACATATTAATTAATGCTTAATAAACCATAAACAGTCTTCAATTTAGAAGGGATCACAAAAAACAGTATTTAACAATTAGCAAATCCCTGACTTATTCATGCATTGCAGTATTAATAAATCATCTTTTCATGTTTTATTAAGTATGAATAAACAGCGAATAACGACCTTATGCATGACCTTAGTCACCAGGAGTAAATTGTTAGTGAATGTGTTATTACATGTGAGTCATGCTTAAATAATGCTTTTCTCATCATTAATTAAGTACTTATTCATGGTTAACTAAGGATGAATAAGGTCATTGTGGATTTAGAGAAAGTGTATGACAGTGTCGAGAGAGGAGCTATGGTACTGTATGAGGATGTCAGGAGTGGCAGAGAAGTACGTCAGAGTAGTTCAGGATATGTATGAGAGGAGTACGACAGTAGTGAGATGTGCTGTAGTAAATGGGGGCTCCACTAAGGTGGAGGTGGGGCTACATCAAGGATCGGCTTTGAGTCCCTTCTTGTTTGCTATGGTGATGGACAGGTTGACAGATGAGGTCAGACAGGAATCTCCATGGACAATGATGTTTGCGGATGACATTGTGATCTGTAGTGAGAGCAGAGAGCAGGTGGAGGAACACCTGGAAAGGTGGAGGTCTGCTCTGGAAAGAAGAGGAATGAAAGTCAGTCGTGGTAAGACAGAATACATGTGTATGAATGAGAGGGAGGGAAGTGGAACAGTGAGGTTACAGGGGGCTGAGGTCAAGAAGGTGCAGGAGTTTAAGTATTTGGGGTCAACAGTCCAGTGTGATGGGGAGTGTAGGAAAGAGGTGAAGAGGCAAGTGCAGGCAGGTTGGAGTGGGTGGAGAAAGGTGTCAGGAGTGTTGTGTGACAGAAGAGTGGCAGCAAGAATCAAAGGAAAGGTGTACAAGACAGTAGTGAGACCAGCTATGCTGTATGGGTTAGAGACTGTAGCAGTGAGGAAAAGACAAGAGGCAGAGATGGAGGTAGCAGAGATGAGGATGTTGAGGTTCTCTTTAGGAGTGACCAGGATGGACAGGACTAGGAATGAGCACATCAGAGGGACAGCTCAGGTCAGCTGTTTTGGGGACAAGGTCAGAGAGGCCAGATTGAGATGGTTTGGACATGTGCAGAGGAGGGATAGTGGTTATATTGGTAGAAGGATGTTGGAGATGGAGCTGCCAGGCAAGAGGTCAAGAGAAAGGCCAAAGAGGAGATATATGGATGTGCTAAAAGAGGACACGAAGTTAATTGGTGTGAGAGTAGAGGATGCCGAGGATAGAGTTAGGTGGAAACAGATGATTCACT